AAAACTCTTCCCGGGGGTCCATGCCTAGAGGATGTGCGGTCCACCCCCCAAATAAAGCAGGTTAAAAATAATTAAATTGCATACATTTTCTTTTAGTAAACACTGAAAACGTGTCCCACAGACCCAAACAACACACAAACGTTAAAGGTAAGCATATAATAATGTTAAAGTGTGCTAAATGTACTGCAAAAAACAACAAAAGAGGAGTAAAAGTGGCTCACGATTTGTTTTATATTTTGAAAGTAGCTCTCATCCTAAAAAAGGTTGGAGACCCCTGCATTAGAGCATAAAAACTGTAACTATAAGTATCTGAAATAAATATGTGTAATGAAACAAATACCAATAACTGTATTGCATTGTTTTCTTATGCGCAATTACTTCATACTGTCTTTGTCTTTTTCGTCCTGCATTTATTGGGCCCCACTCAGAAAATAACTGGCCCCAGCCTGGCCCCCCTCCCCCCCCAGTCAAATTGGTCTAGAACCGCCACTGGGCAGGAGCTCCAACAAGCCGTTTAGGACAGAGAGTGAATACACATACTATACAGAGATGCTGTATGAGAAACCAATGTGAGTTTGGAAAATTGCACAATATAAATCTATTCTAGTAGACCTCAACAATGGAATTATGATCAGTAGAAATGTCCATGTCATGGGACCTTTAATATTTCTAAATAATATAACACCATTATTATGTTAAAATGTGTACAAAACTTTTGTTTTTGATAAAATAATTGACAAACTAATGACACTCAAATCAGCCTCAACTGTATATTGTTGTTTAGGTCTTATTAGCTAAACTTAGATGCTGAATATGATAGATATTACACCTGCTGAACATCAACTGGCGCCACAGAGCGGTTTTCAAGTTATTTTCAAAAACAATGGAGCTCTACAGCACACACACAGAATCCCTGTTTTAAAATGTGCAGTCTGTTGGTAAATTCGGGTCATTCTAGTTTATCTGGGATGTGTACCAAATAAAGACACAGCTTTGCTCTATTTTTTATATGTATTTCCTTAATATGAAATGTATTTAAATGAGGACTTTAAAATAGCTCAAACATTGAGTTAACTTTATATTACTTTTTAAATAATATAGATTTGTTTTTATGTCCATGTAAGGATAGAGTATTCCAATGTCTTGACACGGGTGATATCTTTTTATGAATCTGTTTTTAAAGAAACAAAGATAGCAGACAGTGCATTTGAAAGGTGTGTTTATTGTTGCATTTTTAAGCGCCGAGTGCAATGTAAGCCCTGGATTGCCTCAGTTTAAGGACAAAAGAAGAGTGCATGCATTTTGTTTTTCACTTCACTTATTTTCCATCTACTTTTTTCCAGCTCTGTCTTAAGATGTTTTACCTCTTTTCCCCAAATAAACACTTTCTTCTATAATTCAACATTTCCAAGATTCTTTATTTAAGTCAAGAGTTTAACTAT